CTAACCTTGTATTTTAATGAAGAAAAATTATTTGTCGAGTGACCCTGATTACCATTATGGTAATCACATCATGCATTAGGGTGGTACCATTTTGGGTAAGAGGGTTAAAGGGGTTCTAGACGTACACGCTCTAAAAGTTAATTTGGGATAAGTTGGGGTAGCAATTTGGTGTAATATATGGGTATAAGGTTGACATGATTCTTTTTTTTGTTATTTTACTTCTTTTTTTTTTATTCTTAAAAGCATTTAGCTTATTGATTGGTTGGGTGTAGGTGCATAACCAGGTGTTTGAAGGTGAAAGCCTGGTTAAAATCTTAATTGGCTTGAGTAAGGATCTGGTGAGACATTATTTTTAACAAGATAGTAAAGGTGATAAACTGGGTAAGGATGGTATAAGATAAAACCATCACCTTGTTGCCCTTTATGGATTACACTTTGTACATCTTTTTTTTTCTTGGATGCCTTATTTTTCTTCACCTCTCAGGCATCGAGCTTTCCACTCTTAATTACATTCTTTATTATCTTCTCAAAAATTGTCATATCTATAAAATTTTTCATGACATTCCCAATCATCTTATCATAATAGTGTTAATCAACAAGACAGTGATTTTTTTCTCTATAAGGGGCACTTGAACTTAGGCAACTGCATCTATCCACCTTTAAGCATATTCTTTAAAGCTCTTGGTAGCTTTTTTCTCTATATTTTGCAAAGATAGATGATCTGACACCAAATTTATAATATGCTTGTATTGTGTGATAAAAGCCTTAGTTAGCTCTTTCCACGAACGAACACGACTTTTATCTAGTTGAATGTACCATTTTATGGCAGATCCCGTGAGACTGTCTTAGAAGACATGGATCAATAGTTTATCATCATGAGCATGAGCAGTCATCTTCCGATAGTAAATAGTGACATGTGTCACTAAGCATTTACTTTCATCGTAATTTTAAAACTTTGAATTTTGGTGGAATGACCACATTAGGCATTAAGATAATCCAGTTGCATCCATTAATCCATAAATATCCATCTCCTCGATGGCCTATAATCTTTCTTCTATAAGTTTCATTTTGTACTGGCACTCCAAGCCATCTCTTATTTCTACCATACTTGTTTTAAGCTTTTCTTATTTCTTTCGATCATCCAAATATGGGACATGAATTGCATCTGATGACTTCATTCTTGTGACCAAAGCAACATGCCTCAAAAATTGAATAGGTCCTTATGTTGTCGTCATGGCAATGTAGGTGAATAGACATTCTCCAATTAAGGGCATAGATTGTGTCTATACCACTCAAGAAGTCTGGGCTTGACATGGGGCAAAACTTGGTAGACATGGGGGGTCATTATCATAATCTTGCCATTGGTGTCCCATTTAGGTAGCCTTTTCTCTCACTATTTCCTTTCCTTTATCCATTTTCCTCATCATTTTCATCATTATATTGAGCTGTTCCTTTATTTCATCTTGTGCTTTCTCGATCTCATCCATCTTATTAGTCCATTCTTCTTTCGTAATCCTAGCTCGAGTATTATGCAAATAGTGGACAAATTGATTTGAAACCTTGGATGGTTGAGCTATCCTTGAACTTTTTATTACTATAATTTCAAACTTAGGCTCTAGTTTCATTTATTTACTCATGCCACGACAAAAGGAGTTTTTTTTTTTTTCATGACCTAAAAAAAAAATTAGTAGAACTTAAAACCTCTTTTGTTTTTACAAAATCCTTTTAATGTGTAAAATTTAAAAAAAAAATACAATTTACAAATGTACGATTGAGGCATGATATGAACCATTTAATCTTAATATCAGTGAAGACCTAATGGTTTATTCTCCGCAAGAGATCAAAAACTTGTTTCACTAGATTGCTGAAGGAAATCGAGTTATTGGGGGCTTAAACTTTGTGGCAAAGGTTTTCGGAATTGTGGGTTAGTGACAATTTAAACTCCTATACAAGGTATTTACAGATTGTTTTCTTTTATTGACATCTTGTAATTTTTTTTCTTGTCGTTTTTAGGTTGCATCAAGTTTTTGGAGTCATACTTGGTTCTGGTTACAAAGCGGGGGCAAATTGGACATATATGTGGTCATGCAATATATAGCGTAGATGAGAACCAGTTGATCTCAATTCCTAATGTTTCCATTCAATCTGATGTAGCACATTATAAAACAGAACTAAGGTATCTCCTTCACTTTCAGTGTTTCATTGTTATTTTTTAGGTTTTGTTGGAATAACCTATGTTTATTATTTTTTTTAATTTTACTCACTTTGAAAGTAGAATTGACCATGCTTATTCTGACATTTAACTGCAAATTACCAGCATCCAATATATGCATTTATCTTTTTTACATTCCTAGAAATGGTTATAAGAAAAGTAAAATTTTTATATCAAATTTATACAAATTATAATTCAAACAAATATCAATTCAATAAAATATTAAAATTATTATAATAAATTGAAAATTATTATAACAAAATCAGGTGAAACTGGCTCTCAGCACTAATTACTTGTACTTTGTATTAAAAGAATCCCTAAGGGGATAAAGAGATAACATTTGTCCATTTTTTTTTTGTTAGGTTTTAGGTATAATATATGGACTGAATGTTATCAGCAGTGGGCTATATATCAAATGGGCTATGCATTTATAGTTTATCTATTGAATGTCTGTATCAACGTTGGGATTAATTTTTGTTGGTTTCAAGGGAGATAAATGGATTAAGATTTGGTTTTTGAGAGATAAATGAGTTAAGATTTTATTTATTAGATCAAAACAAATCCCTCAAGAAAAAATGTTGGTAAGGTTTGGCCCATTTTAAATAAATAACCTCAATCCAATTTATGTAAAGCGTAAACGACCTCATTTCAAAATATAAATAGTTTAATTTTATTCAATTTTTACAAACACTTTCACTCCATGGATTTTTTTTTTAACTTTTATTAACATATATATGTTTTACGTGTTACTTTAATAGTAAACAACATAAAATTAATAATAAAATGAACATTTGAAAAAAATACAATGATGAAAATTATTTTGGACTTTGAAATAATAAATTTCAAAATAGTTTCTTAAGTTGAAGAATCATATAATCAAATTTACTAAAGTATAAGAAAGTTCTTAAAATGAAAAAGTAATTTCAAATGATCATAAAAATAAAATACAATATTATTAATTTGTTAGATAAATGAATCATTAATAAAAATAAAAATAAAAATATAATATAATATAATATAATACTTTTTTAATAATTATAAAATATAATAATAAATTTTAATAAAAATAGTAAGATTTTAAACAATTAAAAAAAAGTTGAGAGAAAATAGATATTCTGTAAACCCATTTAATTTTTACTAAAAAAATTTGAACAATAATCTCAAAATGAGTTGGGCATGTCCACTTAAAATAATTTAATAATAAAATATTTAGTAATTTAAAAGAAAAACTTTTGCTTTTCTCTCGATTCCCGTAGAGTAGAGTAATGGATGGTTTACAATTTATACCCAATTGGTGGTTTATTTTCGACAATACTTACTAAGTAATACTTTCAATACCACTTATTATTGCAATTCTTATTCAAATAATTATATATTTTATTTAATGTTTTTATAATATAATTTATATATTTTATTTAATGCATTTAGAAAAATATATTGTCCTTATCATATTACTTCATTTATATCTTTATTTTTGTGTCACTTCATTATTTAAAATTTTTTTTAAAAGTTATTATATTATAAATTTTTTTTCATAAATGTGTCCCTTTATAATATTCATGATTGATTGATTGATTGAGGCTGAGTTATTAAAAATTTTAGTAATTTGAACGAATGAATTTGCAATTTGACAACAAATCATTGGTTTTATACATTTAAATTTGTCTTGCTTTGCTTATGTGATTCGCATTTTAAAAATATTCTTATTTTTTGTTTTTCATAAAAAAAATGCGTAGTTCTCTGTTAAATTTGCCATAAATTTTTTCAATTTTGAAACATAAACTAACAAATTCTCAAGACTAAACGCGACTGGAATTCTAGTACATCATAAATTTTTAGGAGCATTTAGAATTTTTCAATAAAAAAATATGATACAGATAGCCGTGGCATGAACCACAATGCATGTATATCACAATCACTATCTGAGTATTAATACCTCAAACTTATCTCTTAAGCATCTTCCTAATTTTAAATCATTTTTACGTGTACTTTATTAACGACTTAAAGTTTTAGCATAATCTAAGACTATCAATGAGCTTTTAAGATGATCTTTTTCATTTCTAAATAATTGATTTTTTTTAATAAAAAAAATCACAAATGATAAAAAAAATTTATAAATTCTAAAATTTAAATTCAAACTTGCTAAAATATCATATTTTAAAAATAATTATATAAATTAATTATTTAAACTCAAAATACTTTTAAGTAACTTATTTAAATTATAACCTTGTTTCATCCCCAATTTTCAATAAACCATTTATTTAAACTAATATCAAAACCTTCGGGCCATGTTATTGCATAAAATAATGAATAGACTAAAATAATAATTTTATATTATGTTTAATTTACATCTAAATAAAAAAATAAAATATACAAAAACGATTAATCACATAAGATGATTCAATCTTTTCAAAATAAAAAAAATTATTGTTAATTTATAAAATTAAACTTATATATCTTATTATATTTATAAAAATTATATCAATTATTTAAATTATATAAATATTAAAAATTAATAATTTTGATCAATAAAAATTTATTCTGTCCAAATCCTTACATACACTAAAAATAATATAAAATTATTTTATTTTATTTTATCCTATTATAATCTCGTGGAACAAACACATCTTTAATCTCTTCTCTCTCGCATAATGCTCTTACTTTAAAGATTCAAAGTTTGGCTTCTCAGCCAGTCATCCTCTTTCTAATCTCATAAAAATTCATTCATCTTTTTTCTGAATTTCTGGGCTCTTCGTCCCTATCTTCCAGCTTTCTTATAATTTCGGAATTGTACTTTGCCATATTTATCTTATTATTTGTTATTCAAATGTCATCAATTTTTATTGCATAAAATTTCGGGGGAAACGAAAAACAACTCTGAGATGGATAAACTCAAGTCAAAGCTATACTAGCAGAATTACTGCATAATCAAAGAAAATGCGAGGTTGATCCTAAAGCTTAACTCAACTAGTTTATAAAGTCACCTTAAGATATGACATTTAGCAGGTTACAGCCTTTTTTGTTAAAAAAAAAAATGAGAGGTTGAGGAGGAAGGCCCAACGGCTAAACCAAAAGAACCAGGCTTTATTGTCCGAGCTGAAGCAAAAGCTAAGCCAAAGGACGCTCTAATCCAGAACAAAGCTCTTGTCTTAGCTCCAGTTCCCACCCGAACTGTACTGACTCCCTGAAAGGCCAAAACCATAACCATAATCATAGAGATAAGCATTCATAGAATTTATTTTTAATCACAGTAACTTTTTGCTGTTATCTATGCAATTTCTGTATTCAAGCAAGGAAAAAGAAACTGTTTATTTAAGTAATGAATTTATGAATCCAGAACGATTACCACTGCAAACTTCAAGCAATTAGTCGACAATCAGCTTCCGATCTATGCTGGAAAAAGTTTGGTAAAATGCCTTGAAATGTTTGTAAGCAATGTCTATATCTTCCTTCCCACATACTTCTCTCACACTGCAGAAGTGCAAATCAAGAGTAGGAACATAACTAAGATCAACAGGAAAATGAAGGAAAAAGAAAAAAGCAACATCAAAAGAACACAGCATACCATTGATTTGCAGAGACTAAACTGTTCTACTATTCCATTTAGCATGTTATAAATGATTCATTAAGAATAAATTCAGTTGGAACTTTTTTACATGTCAAAAACTTGTAGGTATATTTCTGGAATAACACAAGATATAGATACGGAAAATGCAACACTATATAAATCCTACATGTTGTGAGTTACCTGCATTGACGGAAGACATATAAGTAGCTCCACTGCATAAATTCAGTAACATAGTACAACATACCTGTGCATAGAAAGCTGAGCAATGCCGCAATCAACAGTACGAATACCAACCCCTGAAGCAAGTATTGGACCAATGGTGGATCCACATCCCATATCATTTCTTACCACAAATTCCTACAAGCATAAAAAACACAGTTGCAAGTGTTTCAAAGGGAATATTACTATATATATATATATATATATATATATATTACTAGAAGAATGTGAACATGTGACTAATGTTTTAGTTTTCTTTATATACATTTCTCAACTATGTTCCATTGTTATCCATCACCATAACTTATGTTTTCAAGACACAGGATCTGTGCAAATTACTGTAACATTGGAAATAATACCCACTTATTGTTCATTTTTGGACAATTGTAGTAATTGGGACATGTTGGACAAGAATATAACATGAATTATGATGAGATCCCACCTGAAGGAAAGGGAAGCACAAAAGCTCTGCACATCACTGTAAAATGCAGACGTCATACTATAGCCAAGGTCCTTATTGACAATGGTTCGGCTATCAATGTTATGCCTATTTCTACCCTAGCAAGGTTGCCCATTGATATATCTCACATAAAAAGCAGTCACATGGTCGTCCGAACATTTGATGGGACTAGGCATGAGGTATTGGGATATATTGAGATGCCATTGTAAATTGGGTCCTGCACTTTCAATGTGAAGTTCTAGGTTATGGACATCTCTCAATCTTACAGCTATTTGCTGGGTAGGCCTGGATTCACATGGCGGGTGCTATTCCCTCTTCCCTACACCAAAAAGTCAAGTTCAACGTGGAGGGTCAACTTGTGCTTGTAGCTAGAGAAGAAGACCTATTAGTGACTCAGCCCATTAATGCTCCCTATGTAGATCCAGCGGAAGAATCATTAGAGTGTTCTTATCGATCCTTTGAACTTGTCAATACTGTGGGTGAAAGATCTAAGCTATACCAACCAGAGTTCAGTAGAATTGTGATCAACCAGATTGTTGGTATCCAGGAGTTGGGCTGGGTAAAAATTTGCAAGGAATTAAATAGCCTCCAACAATAATAGACAATAACGAGAGATTAGGCTTGGGGTATGAATTTGAAGAATGGGAAATGAAGAGGATGCAAGACAACAGGAGAGGAAGAAAAATAGCCAGAAATATGCCAATAGTCATACCGCATCTGTATGAGACTTTTAGGCCAGGAGGATATATGTATCCAAGGTTAAAAGGAGATGTTGAAGATGACCTGAGCGTGGAAGAAGCTTTTGCTGAGATGTCCATCTAGATGATAGCAGAAGAAGCCTAGGGTGAAGAGGTGTTTGTTCATCCATGTTCAATAAGTTTTGAACTTAAAAACTGGAACGTCATCGAGATGCCTATTATCCTTAATACCCTTCCAATGTAATCATAATCCCCAACTGCTTACTCCCAAAAGCATTGGGATAATCTTTTTTGTATGGGCCTCTTAATAATTATTATCTTGATAAAAGCATAGGATTATGCATTTTCATTCATCTTTTCTATCCGGTTTCCATTTTTCATTTTTAGTCAAAGCATTTCGCCAATATTTCCCATTTCATTTACTTTCAAGTCCCTAAACAAATATGAAGATAATCATGATAAGAATCAAAAGGTTTAATCTTGAAAACTTAATTAATGTTGATGAACTTGACACCGAAGATGACTCTGAAGAGTACACTTTACCTCCAGATTTAATGAGATTGATTAAACAGGAGAATAAATCAATTGAGCCTAAAGTTGGTACATCGCTTCCATCGACTGATAGACAAAGGTTAGAGGATCTACTTCGAGAATTTGTAAATGTGTTTGCCAGGTCTTATCAGGATATGTCGGGGCTTAATACCGAAATAGTAGAACATAGGTTACCCTTAAAGCCTGAATGTAGACCCGTTCAACAAAAGTCGAGAAAAATGAAGCTTGCAATACTGTTGAAAACCAAATGTCAAGGACATAAATTTTCAAAAATCAAGTTCAAAAATCAAGTTATTTTTTAAAAAATAAAACTAATAAAATAATATTTTCTGTTTATCTGACATAAAATCCAACCAACAGATTGGAGGATAATTTTCAATACAAAGTCTTACCAACAGATTGGAGGACATTTTTGGCTATAAATATTATTTATTGATATTTATTTTTAGAAACAAAATTAAATAAACTCGATAATGGAGCATCTTTAAAGTGTGACAAATAGTGTTCTTGAATACTACTGAAATGAGAAAATATTTTTAAATTATTTCTAACATATTGAAGTAATTTAAGAAAAATTTTTAATATTAAATTATTTGATAAATTTTAAACATGTTTTAAGGCTTAGATAACTTGAAATCAAACTGGTATCATCTTTTGGATAGGTTCTGTAAAAGAGCTATAACCTTCCTCACGCATAATCATACTTTCGGACCTAAACTTTGGTTTTGTGAACTAGAATCTACTATTTAAATAAACCTAAATTAATCTTAGTACCCTTCTTTAAATTGGACAGATTCTATCAAATGGCCAATCATACCTTAACAAAAAATATTGTTGACGACTCCTTAAATTTATATTTAACGATAGATCCACAGATTTATACATTATGACAAAAGACAAACAAGAAACATTTCCCTTGTTTGACTTTCATTTAAAATTAAAGTAAAGCAAAGGAAAGAAGGTTGAGCACCTTTCCCTTTCCCTCAAAAGCTTCATTTTTTAATTACCGCAAATTGAAAAAAAAATAAAAGAAAAGAGAAAAATATTTTAAATATAAAATGATATTTACTTCCTTATTATTTTCTTTAATTTTAAAAAATACATTATAAGCTTGACTAGTGATATTAATATTTACTTTTTTATCAAACTCAAACCGTATCCTTGTTTATTTTCCTTTCTTGTAGGTTTTATCAACTTTATAAATTATAATTTTCAAATTTATTTTTATGGATTTTTTTTGTATGTACATTTTTTTATTCTTTTGTTCTTTCTTTTAGCATATTTTATTTATTTTATATGGAAATAAACTTTTAAGTTATTAATGGTTTAGGTAATTTACCATTGTCTATAAAGAAAAAATAATCATATTTATCCTTTATTTTTTTTAATTTATGCTGGGTCTTACATCATAAATTTGGGAAAAAAGAAAACATATGTACATTAAAAAATACATACAATTGAAAAAACTATCCCCATATTAATGGAGCTTATTAAACTTGTAAAAAAATATATTAAGACAAGTTTATAATTAATTCTATTGACTAAAAAAAATTTGTATTCTTAAAAGTTTTCTCATTGAAATTAATTCTGAAAAAATTATAATTTTGTAAAAATAATTCCAAACCTACATTATTTTATGGATTAACAAAATTTCATCTCTTTCACTAGATTTTTTTTCTTTCTTTTTTATTTAAAACAATTAATTTCTAAATTATTCATATGGTAATTTTTCAAAGTATAATTGGAAAAAAAAATTATTATAATGAATCATTTCCTTTCGCTCTTTAACCAAACAGTAGTTGTTCGCATTCCTTTTTTTTTTTTTTTATTAATTTTAACTATTCAAATAAGGAATACATGTATCTTTTCCTTTCCTTTAAAAACCTTTCATTTCCTTTCTTTTACTTTCTTTTTCTTTCCTTTACTAATACTATCCAAACAAAGTTTGACTTATCAATGACATCTTACATTCTCCAAATATCACCTCTTCTACTCGACATCCAACAAGCCCACAGCCCACACTCATCACCGCTCCCCCCTCCCCTTCTTTTCCTTAGACAATAACCAACAGGCGAAAGCAACGGGGCAGCTTAATTTTGTTTATGAGTCATGCAATACTGTGTTTCAAAACCAATAACATGTCATGAAGTTCTTTAAGTATAATGAATCTTAGGTGCAATTTGTTGATAAAATGAATGAAAAATAGTACTCAGCAATATTTCGCACTCTCTCTCTCTCTAATAAAAGCCTTATTTTCAAAATGAGACAAAAACTCAAATGTTTTCGAACATAATAAAGAATTTTTCATGCATGAAAGACTGATTGAGATTAAACCATTTTGGTTTTTTAAATGAACCTCATTAATCAATCCTTTATCGAAACAGATAATGTGACAACAATGAAAATTTTGGATTTTCATAAATTTCCCAAGGGCAACTAAACAGTTATGACGTACCATAAGGACACCTTATTAAGGAAATCAATCATCTCAGTGATTATGTTATATTGCTCCTTTTCTAATAGTTAAAAGACACCATAGTTGAGATTCATTTGAAAATTGCAAATCCACTCGCAAAATTTATATATTGCAGTTTATTAATGTTATAGTAATAACACTCACGAAGCGAGAAATCTTGTGCACCAGGATATGCCCTTTTTTTTATTAGTGTTATGGTAATACTCTTACAATGTAAGCATTATACATGGAAAGGAGGAGTGGTAAAAGCCCAGCACAGGAATGCACAACTCTCATATGATGAATAAAATAAGACCTCATACTAATTCCTTTTCAAACAAATGGACGGATGATGTTAGTGCTAGATCTTTTCTCTAATCTATTATGGTCCTCATTTAAGATTCTAATGCGTCAAGTAATATTTAAACACTGAAATGAAGGTAAGACCATCAAGAAGCATAGTTAATCTTCAAAAATTAATGACTTTTAGGCTACTGTGCAGCAAAACCCATACAATTGACCCTGACCCCCATGGCGTTGAAAAAGGCATATCAAGAAAAAAAAATCTCTAAATAAATACTTGTCCAGCAAGAAATGAGTAAACTGATTCAATTGTATTTTTTATTATTATTATAATATGGCAATGGAGTTACCTGAGTAGGAAGGTTATGAATTTTTGCTACTTCTTTGAAGAGAAAAGCTGTTACTCCACTGGTAGCATACCGCTGGTTTGCATTGTGCTTGATCACAAGACCTTTATGCATTTCTGGTCGATGGTGTTCTTCATGCTTATCCATGAAATTTGGATGAACTCCATGCGCCATATCAGCAGATACTATAGAGAGAAAGGATAACGCAGAAGGATTAAAGCATACATTGAGACAACAGATAGTAAATACAATGTATGTAACAGATAGCAACTGAATGCAAACTCAATCATGCAACCAAAATTTTGACAGCTCGTGTGTTCTGCCAAGCAATAGTCTTTCATCAATCCATGACAATGTATTAGGATTACATATTTACCACATTTACATGTATTCATCTTTGCTACTAGAATTAATCTCAGAAAGCCAAGTAAACCCCAATTGAGAAACTTCACTTCTTTTCCTCTCCCTCTCCCCCCCCCCTTTCCTCTCACTAGAGGTATAAATGATACACATAAACTACCCAAGCTACTCAGACTCGATTCGAGAAAAACTCAAATTCGGTTGGTCATTTTCAAGTTGAGTTCGAGCTGGAGCAACTCGATTTATCAAAAGAGCCAAATTCAAGCATCCTAGTGTCTGACTCGAGTAGCTCACGAGTTTAATTAAGTTTTTTATTTTATATATATTTATTATTTTAATTATAAAATTACAATTTTACCCTTAAACTAAATATATCTAACATAAAAAAAGAAAACCCTAAAGCTAAATTACAATCTGCCTCCCCTCTCTCACTCTGCCTCTCAACCAAAACCCAACGCACCCTTCCTTTCAGACTCTCACCCCCCTTCATCTCTCTTTCCTTTCCTTTCCTAGTCTTGATCAGCCATCATCAATCTTCTTCAGCAACCCTACTCTTGGCCTTCATTATTGCAATCCCAACCTTTAGTCTTCTTCAGCAACCCATGCTCCCAGCCTTCATCATTGCAAACCCCAACCATCCGACAAGAGATGGCGTAAGGTGATTTGCGCTGTTGGGGTTGAAGCCCCTTACCCTACCATGTTCCTATTTCCCGTTGTTCTTTATTTTACTTATTTTTTGTTGTTCTTATAAGCCATCCATAGAATTATTAATTTTCCGCCAAATTTCTTTTTCCGCACAAAATTTTATCTTTTTTATTTTTTGTTATTAATTTATCTTCTTTTTTTGGGTATAGTGCTTAGGTTGTTCTCTGTGCTTATGTGGTTGTTTCTTGATTGTCTTATCTATGTTTTTCTAGTGGTTGATCAGAAACCCTTGAGTAGTTCTGTTCCTACATGTATCCTTTGATTTTTTAAACAAATTTGAAGTTTATTATTATGACTCGAGCTTAATTGAGCGAGCTCAAGTTCAACTTGAGCTTTAACTCGAATTGAGCTCCAGCTTGAAAAATTGAACTCAATCGAGTTCAAAGTTAAGCTGCAAGCTTTGATTTTCTAGTCAAGCTCAAGCACCTCAGTGTATAGGCACTACTCGGCTTGATTACATCCGTACCTCCCACTGCCAATTATCTCTCAAACAAGGATTGGTACTGGCAAAGATAGAAACAAGGTCAAGCAAGCTATGTATTAGCTCCACATTTACATCAAAACAACTAAAAGTAAATGTAATATTCATCCAACAAGAAAGGATTATTTACCACAGCATGTTAAAAGTTAATCATTGTTGTGTGCATAAGTTAGGGTGACTCTTAAAAATTTTCTTAACTGTATCTAGAAATGCACAGGCTTTGGTCTTACTGTTTGGACTACAGTAAAAAAAGCAATAATTTGAGCTACAAGTACATGAATATGGAAATTTTTAGGCCATATCAGTGACACTAGGTATCAAAATCTGTAAGCTATGTCTTACATATAGACATGCATGGCTTTTGGTATTCTCATCACTCAGAATACTAGGTGGGGTTATCCAACGAAGCAATGTCTGATGTACTAGTAGCTGAACAGCAGGAGTTCAGAAGGCCATTAGAATCGAAATGTCAGGCAATCCAGAAAAGAACCCACATGAGTACCCAGTCCCTAATTCAACCATTTATTGGGGTTTCAACTAGATGCAAAATATTATATTTTAACATAATTTGTTAATATAATATATATTTTACATAGGTTAATTTTGAAAAAATATATATATGCTTTCTTTCAACTATATGATTTGACCATTAATTAATAATTCGAAGGCTAAAAGTTTTTGTCTCCTCTTGCAAAAAAATGTTCAAAGACATAAATGTAAATTTGAATGACCTGAAACTGGTTCAATTCAGTCTAAACCGGTTGAACACATGTTTCACTGATTCTTAACCAGTTTGTTCAGAAGGGCATTTCAGACTGGAAAAGCAACCAATCTCCAGTTCAAAAGGTCAGGATTTCCCAATTCAACTGGTTTGATCAGGTGCCCTGGTCCAGTTTCCAGAACAGTGTTAATCTATAAGCTGTGACCGGGAGCCTTTGGATCAAAACAATAACTGTCACATTAAGAGGACTGATCCCCCTGGATAAGCTCAAGCTTCACTCGAGCTCAGGTCATATGCTAAAATTGTCATGCTTCTTGCTTTTGGAACTTCTCAAATGGCTACAGCTCAAATTCATTTGTTATGTTCCCTAGGCTCAGGTGTCACTGCCTTCATCCTTTGTTGTTCTATGAGACTCAGTTGCTCAAATCTGCCCCTTACCCATCCTCTTTTATGTTGACACAACACTAAGAGATGGAAGTTCCACACAAGTATGTATTTGAGTACAAAGGCACCTTCAGTTTTTTTCCAAAATTTCAACGTCTATTAGAGGAGCCATATCCCCTATATTCATTCCCAACATGGAATTTCTCTAGGTGGGAAGAGTGAGATGGAGGCATAGACCCTTATTTTGCATATTTGGCGTGCAAAGGATAAGACCTTTCAACCATCCTTCTTAAAAGAGAAAAAAAAATGCAGTTGATGAAAAAGAATTCTTTTTTCATTTAAGATGATGATAAAGTATTCTTAATAAGTGATAAAAGATTTAATGTAGTTAAGAACAGAAGCACTATGAAGAAAGAATGCAACCATGCAGTTAAAGGCTTCTAATTGAATAGTACCAAGAAAAGATTGGCGAATTGCACGGTCAAAGGCACTCTCACCAGCATAACTATTCGCGAAGGAACCAACAATGTGTCTCATTGCCTGAAACATGGTTGGTGCCCCCGCTCCTTGAAATGAATCTGAACCTACCTGACCAACAAAAGTAAGAGCTCTGTTATTTGAGTAATTCTGGGAGGAAGATGTTTATAAGAAAAGACTCAATAATCCTTCAAACAAAAAAGATTCAATACTTACAGGATGAATATCCATAAACATGCCTAATTGAGAACATAAAAAGTCTGATTAAAGCAATTCACTTTAAAACAACAGTTTGCTGCTATAACCTTAAAGGTTTGAGTAATTCTGCTACCTGATAAAATTAGCTTCAAAAGAATTAAACTAGAAATTCTCTCACGTAAAGATTTCTTTCTTAGAAATCTTGTGTATGACACATTTTTGCGTTGAGTGCAACTCATATTGCATGCACATGCTAACAGACACATTTTGCATAATCCTGAAGCACATGCAGCAATCCAGATCACAAGTCATGTTTGCGAAAATAATTGTTAAAATTTGGTTTTATGTCTAGATGACTTTAGTTTGACTAAAAGTTTTAAATTATGTATTCACTTGGAAAATGTGCCATGATGTATCAAGTTCTATTAAAAAGGTTCTTTTTGTGTTGAATTCAGGCTTCTCAAGAAATGATCTCAGGAAAAGATATAGTTCCTTATAAATATACCTATATAGTATGTTTTTAGCTAGGGCAACTCAGATGCAAAAACATGCTAAGTAGCACATTTTGCAAGAGGAGAGCACATGCAAAGTGAAAATTCATAGCAGGTGGTAAATCCAGGTTGCAAGCCATGTTTGTGACAATAATTGTATAACAACAGTGTTTATGCCTCTAAATTTTAGTTTGATTCAACAATCATTTAATGTTCAGATTAGATGGGTTCATACCTTGAAATAGGCTTTTCTCAACAATTTTGGGGTTGTTTAGCCATTTTATTGCATCACATTGAAAACTACCACTTAAACCATGCATCTAGCATTCAAATAGCTCAAACTCCTTTGATAAGCATATAGAAATAGATAGAGCTCTCGAAAAATTTTACCTCCTCATTATCAAATAAAGCAACCATCCGAATAGCATGTTCACTTGATAAATCAACAGGTGATCCACATGAATCAACCAGAGCTCTCAAAGCACAATAACTTGAAGCAAGATTATCTAACCTTCCAGAGAATATAAATTCATTGTTCGCACCTCCAAGGCAGCTAGGTTGGGTATCACAAATATTCAACTCAATATTGACAATGTCATCAACGTCACAACAGAGCTCATCTGACAAAATCTGAAAGCAAACACAAATGTTCTATCAACACCATGAATTACCTAGATCAGGTTGGTGGACACTTAACTTACAAAAATAAGGGAATTAATGATTCCAAAATCATAGAAGGTTAGGAATAAAAAGTCATGAAACAAATCTAAAAATGGGTAGCAATAAATGTTGAAAAGCAGCAACCACAAAGAGGACAGACTAACCATTTGTGAGGTCTAATCAAGCAGAATTTTTTTTTTTTTCATTTCAAAGGTAACAAATTAGGCAAAATAGTCATTTAAAAAGATTTATCCATAATGCTACAACAGTTATCATCCAAATTGGAATACCAAAGAAGATTGCCATGAAGGCTTTTCCAGATCCTTCTTAGCATTGTCACATGAAGAAGCCACTCCTAGCTGAATATATACCCTTGCACTTGTTAGCCTGGCACTTTTCTATTGCAAATAAACAATCACGTTTAATCCCACTTCATAGATACAATAGATTCATTTCTTTTTGCCCAAGCAGCCTTGTGATTGTGAGTCTACTCTCTATATTATACCATAACAATAAAGTTTTCCTTCTTTTTATTCTAAAAAGAAAATTCATAAGAATTGGCATTGTTAGCGTTAAAGTGATCATTATTGTCAAATGAAAAAACTTTAAGTGAGTTTTCCAAACTAAATTTCCTTGATGTTTTTGTGTATTTTAAGTAGAAAACTCACTTTGGCATTTAGAGATTGCTAAGTTAGCCTTGGAAGGTAGGAAGTTAAAGGTTATAACTTATATATGAATGAAATGATGTAAAGGTAATACCTTAGACTTGAAAAGGTATTTTTAAAGCTTGAAGAAACGAGACCCCCTAGCAAGGGGAGCTAAGGGAGAGAACTTCTATAAATCATTGTGTTTTCTATCCCTTCTAGTTTATCTAATTTCAAATTCATTAGTGCTTAAATTTTCATGTTTATTTCTTATATTGTTGTTTTCCCATAAATATTTATTAAACTTTAGCCTTTGAAAATTCAGGATTCAAGCCAATTCACATCCCCTCACCCTAGACTGTTTATCCACACTTGAGCAAAAAGACATCATTGCAACTATAAATTATCACCATGTCAGAGCCTGTGTTCCTCCTGTTAGAGCTGCTTTCAACTATATCCAGAGAGGGGGAAAGCTTAACCCCTAATCATGGCAAGTGCGCTATAACTAAACCAATTTTAAACTGCTTGAACTGCTCCAATCATAACACAAATGCATATACCTGCATAAGTAGTGGATGATGAGCAGCCTTGGAAGACAAAGTACTTTTCTCTTTTGATTCTGCAGGTGCTTCTTCAGGTTTTGTTGCGAGTAGTGGAACAAGGTGAGTCTCTAGATTTGGTTTGAATCCATCTGTGTTCACTGTGCTAAACGATGAATAAAAAACAAAGTAGATATACGAATGAGAAGGATGCATTGACAATCTATCCAAAAAAAACCAGTAACTTAGAAGCACGAAAGAGCAAATTTTCGATTAAAAGAAAATTGAAAGATCTTCTGCTAAGAACCTAACCACACTTTTTTATTGTCCCTCTTCCTTTTAAGATAGAAAAGGAAATAGAATTTTGGAAAAAGTAATCGTGTTAATATTCACTAGCTGCTATACATACACAATATCAATATTTTTTGCAATTGTAAATCTTGAAAACTTACCTCTTAAGCATACGAAATTTCCCATTTATATAAAAGTTAGAATATGAATGATCTTGAAGACAATTTTGCCACATGTGATTACTTTAAAAAAAAAAAAAAAAAAAAGAAAAGAGAAGAAAATAGTGCAAATTGAAATATTAAGTGTTCAGGCAACATTATGGTGTGTTATCAAGCAAAAGTATTCATTGAGGTACAATATCAACTATCTTGGGAATCTGAAATCAAAAGAATATTTAGTCTTTCCAGCTCTAAGTTACATCATATACACTATATCTTCATCATACTTTATATGTAAAAAGACACTCATAGGAGTAGGAGGTTCAGTTTCCCAAAGTCAATGACCTAACTCGGCCCTAGCTTCCTTATCATTTCCTATATCAAATAGCTATCAAAAAGACAAAACATAGACACAAACACACTCTCTCTCCTCTTCAAAGTCTAAGAGCTTCTGAACTAAAATAAACATTAATATCAGTAAAAGAAGGAAAAAGATGAACACTAAAATCCCATCTCTTCAAAACTAAGCGCAAAGAGAGATGCAAAACAACATAAGGCCATGAATGAGCACAACAGTAGCATTCATTCCATGGTAATTTAAAAGGCTTCAATGATTCTACCATATAATCATACTGATATGTTCATAACATTGCTAACTAACCATGAAAGCCTAAGCCAGTAAGGTCTTCAAATGTTTTTTTACTAGAACTAAAGCTTAGAAACCAAATAAAAAGCGTTTATCTATTATCCAGTTATTTTTCTGCTGGAATAGCATGTAGAATTCCTTAAAATGCACTGTATTAATCAATTTATTATTTTCACTTTTTTAGATGGTTTGCTATAGTTAGTGCATAGTCAGTAATAGCTATTTCCATAAGGTATTTTCTAGCAGAAAGTATATGGTGATGAAATTACCAATTAGTCTTTCCAAATATTTATCCTATTTAGGATGTGTCTTATTAAGTTGCCAATTAATTTCTGGGGGAAATTATAAGGATGAAATTACCAATTAGTTCTCCAAAATGTTATCCTAAATTTGAGGGTATTTTATTAAATTGCAATGGTGTCTACCAATTAAAATTCTTTTAGTGATGCAAATAATAGAAATTATTGACAGAATCAATGAAAGCAAAATATAAACAATGATATAAACTATAGATCAGAAAGACAGAGAATTTTAGCATAAAAATGATGCTACAAGAAACGCAAGATGTAAGTCCTATGGCTTTGCAGGATCTAATGCATACTCCATTCATGAAAGTCAAGTCTGTATCAAATCCAAGAAGAGGACACTATAGCCTAGGAACATAAAACTCATCTCTCCTTATCCAATATATTTGCTCTGATGGGCAGCAAAAAGTAAAGTAAGGTCAACTTCAACAGTAAACAATGAAGAACATCACTACCCAGTGCCAATAAATGCGTTATTAATTAAAAAATTCAAAAGTATTTGCAATATTATCACAGAATATAACATAATGTAAAAATGGCTATTTAACGAAGCAATAGATACCGGTTAAGATGAATTGCCAATGTGGGTACTCGTAGAAGAGGTCTCGTTACTTTGACAAGCTTGTGAAGAAATGAACCATGACTAGCTCTGACAATGACTCTTCCTGCAACACTTAGATCTCTGTCGAACCAAGTGTGCCATAAACCACTTCCATAAGTCTGTACGTTGAGCATGAGATAATTGGACTTGAATGAAGCTGACTTTGGTTTAATTTTGAGACAAGGGCTGTCTGTATGAGCAGCAATAACATGAAAGCCATTACCAACGATATACCTGCAAAACTAACACAAGCTTGCTTTAAAATTTCTTCAACTCCAAAAGTTTTAAATTAAAATTTTTAAGAGACATAAATTCGTTCCACTCACTTTTCTCCTATAGCAAAAGCGACCAAACAAGACATATTCCTAGTGAACAAGTAGCGTCCACCAGGCTTAAGTTCCCACTCATCATTCTCATTTAGTAAATGAAAGCCAGCAGCAATCAGCTGTCGTTTTGCTTCAGCTGTAAACAAGAAAATTAACATGTTTGGTCTAAGGCAAAATAATTAGTGATGTTGTGTAACCGAGGCCCTGTCCCAATGGCAAGGAAAAGGCCCGTTAAGTTCAAGTCCGCCATATATGAGTTTGGTTCAACTTTATATTAAAATTTCTCCGGTTATATATTGATTGGTTTATTGATTAGTTTCATCTACTAGATGTAATAATTATTTAGCCAAAATATGCAATAGTAATTGTCTTCTCTACTTGTACATAAAAATATAATACTAATAATTAAAGATTTCAGGAATAAATTAGCACAAACAACAATGAAAACTATCTTCAGTAAGACTTTGTTGGACTTTGAAATGCTATCAACAAAGCCCACCATAACTTAAGAAAAATACTGACTGAAATTGCAATAGAAGTAGTAATATGTACAAATGTTAAAACGGAAAATTAAAAAAAAAAAGGTATTAATGGGAAACCTGTAGCGTGAAACTGAGTCCAGGATTCGTTGAGATAATCCAAAAGATCTCCGACTACGGACGCATTCGTGGATGATGATGATGATGATGAGCAGAGGAGAGGAGTGCTGGAGAATTTGCGGCGGCGGAGATTGAGGGTTAAGGAGGAGGAAGGCGAATGGGGTAATCTAGACAAGATGGCTGATGGGTGGTGCAGGAGTTGCACTCGACTTATCGCTGCCATCGATTCTGCTCTCTTGACCTCTTTGCTTTTAGTAATCTTTAATAATCATTTAATTTTCTTTTTTGTAAGATTATTATTCCTTGAAATTTTTAAAAGATTAAAATACTTACATATTTTCCTATAAGAGTATTTAGAATTAGATCATGCCGATGGATTTCTTTTTCATCAAATTTGTTATTATTTTATAATTATTTTAGTATAAAATGTGGCTTCTAAACACACTTCAAAATTTATACACATAAATTTTTAGAGAGTTCTTAAACACGCTACACTTTTTACTTTTCACATTTTACTTTTTTTTCAAATATTTTTTATAAATAAAATTATTTAATTATTTTTTATAAGTTTCAAATATCCAATATATGAATTTTGGATAAATTTTATAACTTACCAAAAATAAATTTTCAAAAAATTTTATAACTTGTTGAAAATAAATTTTAGAAACTTTCTAAAAACCTATTTTGGGTAAGTTATAAAACTTATCAAAAATTCATATCAAGAATATTGGAAAGTAAAATTACAAAAAAAATTATTAAAACTTTTTATTAATTGATGTAATAAAAAATTATTGTTGAAAAAATCATAATTTTAAAATTAACAAAAAAATTAATTTTACCATTTTGACTTTAAAAAAATAAAATCTTATGAGATCCTAATAAATTAAAGATAAAACACTAAAGGTAATTTTTTATAAATTTAAATTTTATTATTTTTTTAATAAATATTTTTTCTTGGTATCGATTATTAAAATTTTATTAATAGTTCTAACTAAACTAAATTCTAGAAAAATCTCTCTATTTATTTATCATAATAGGTTTTTTCGATTAATATATTATATTTTAATAAATTTTATAGTATTTAGTTGTATTATTTATATGATTTCAAGGAATTTCAGTTCTCAAAATTTGATTAAACTTGATAGTACTTTCATCATCTTTCATAACACCAAGAGATAAAATGTTTAATTAGGGTCTTATAAGATTTTATTATTTCTCTAAGGTTAAAATAGTAAAATTGACTTCTTTTTAACTAATTTTAAAATTTATTATTTCTTAATAATAATTTTGTTATTAAATTAATTAATAAAATGCTTTTTTTTGTAATTTTCATTGAAATTTTTATTAATATTCTTTTTAGAAATCCATTTCTTTTTACAAAATTTATCAAAAATCTATTTGTGGTAAATTATAAATTTTACTAGATATAAATATCTAAAAACTTGTAAGAAAAATATTAAATAATTTCAATTACAAAAAATAAAAAAAAATTAAGGTGTGAAAAGAAAAACATGGGAACATTTAGAAGCCCCAATTTTTATTACAAAATTAATATTATACGAAATTACTTAATTACTTTTATTAAATTATCTTTTTAAGCCTTCTTATATCATTTTTTACCTTTTTTGCTTTTTCTTTCTTTTCTTTCTCGTATCTCTATTACAATCTCTAAATCTTATAAATTATTATTTTTATTTTATATATTTTCAAAATGGATAGCTAAATGAAAAGGCAGATAGGAAACAAAAGCGGTGGGGATAAAAACCACAATCAAATCACATTTTGAACTAAAAATTTACACATTAAAAATATATATTTAGAATCAATATTGTATTATCGAACATGCATATTCAAAATTTTTTGTATATTATCGCATGTGCATATCCAATAATGTTATATACTATTTCTATATACATTCTCAAGAAGTTTACGAACTTAGATTTTGAGATTTGTATTTCTGTAAACTTCCAAAGGCTTACGAAGATGAAAGTCCATAAAGCCTTTGAAGGTTGCAAATATCAAAATCAATAAATCCTTTATATTTTACAAAAATTCATTTTCATAATACACAATTTTACGAAATATACATATTGATTTCAAACTATATTTAACACAAAATCAATGAAAACTTATTTCAATATAAAAATTGGTTAGATCGATTAGTCAAAAAATTATGATTTTAAGGTTTGATTGATCGTTTTGAACTTGGATTTTGGTTTAGTTTTTGAGTTTGCATATTAAATAAGGAGGAAAGGAATAAAGAAAGCTGAAAGGGATAATGGGTGTAAGGGTAAAACGAGAAAAGAGAAATGTTGAAATGAGGTGTAATGAGTAAAAAATTTATTTTGATTTTGAATTTTGGGTTTATTTAGAAATTTGGTGTGAAGAATAGATTTTGGAGTGTGTTTAGAATTTCTAATATAAAAATTATACACAAGATATTATAAAAATTTTAAAATTTTAAAAAATTTTAGATCCAACTAGAATATAATCGCATTACTCTAAATAAAAAAAAAGATCGTATCAAATAATTACTTCAAATCAAAATATGTCATTTTCATTCAAATCATATCACGTAATAATATTATATAAAAAAAGTTAATAATTTTATTACACATCACATGTATGAGTTTAATTATGAAATAAATATTCACAATTTAATTATCTAATGTAATGGGCAATAAATAATTTTTTTTAATAATATGATTATGTGATATGATTTAAATAAAATGAACATTTCATACAATCTTCTTTCACATAAATACGTTTTTTTTTTAAATATGTGATATTAATGTATTTTGAAATTATATTTATAAAATCTAAATAAGTAAGTTTTTAATTAATAATTAATTTATCAATAAAGCTTTACATCCTTTGTTGTTATAAAAACTCAATATGTATGAAAATTGAAATGTCTCAAGCTAAAAAATTTTAATCTTAATTGTAAAATCAAAGTTTTCATCAAAGTAAATTAAGATATGAAAGAAGTATAACTAATTTTGTATACATGAATACAAAGACAGTATAAATAATCTTTGAATATAAAAATGCAGACATATTATTAACTTAATGATATATAAATTTAAATTAGTTAGAGTGATTAACTTAATGAACTTAAATGACTTAAATGAATTACTTTTAAATAAAAGATTATTGCTTTGAATATTTGGTATTATGGGTTTGTTCATTTATAATGCTTTATAATATATGTATGCTTTATCATACTTTTTAAGACATTTTATGATGAATATTTGCTTGATCTTTGAAAAAATATGGTAAAAATATTCTTAATTATTCAAATATTCAATGCATAGATAAAAATATATAAAAAAAAGAAAGAAAAATATAGTTTTGGAGTAAATTTGGACGTATTTTGGTGCTAAAATCACCATTTGTCCGACCCTAGTATGGAAAACTGCTCAACTACAACTTTTGAGAGATTTTTCTTAACTTTTCTTCAATACTTTTTTTTATAAAATTGAGTTTAAGTGAATTTCAATTCAAGCTCTATTTCTCGTACTTTTCTTGTGTAATTATCCTTTTTAACTCATAAAAGTGTTTATCATCTTTATAGTAAAGTTAAATGAGCTAATTAGAAGGAAATGTAAAATGAATGGTTTTGGAGGAAACATTTGAGCCGAAAATTTTTGAATTTTTACATGGCTAAATTTGCTATTAATATAAATTAGTAAAGTACCATCATTGTCATCAAACATCCATTATACCTCATTTCCTTTGCATTGCTTCCACCAATTTTCTGACAAAGTCCCAAATCATTTTGAACAGAAATTTACGTTCTTTATTTTTTTTTTTTTTTATAATTTGAAAAGTGAATTACAACCTTGCGCATTTGAATAAAAAGTCGTATGCCAATCATCGAGTCAAAATGCTTCTAAATAAAGTGTGGCACACCAATCACCAAGTCAAAATGTTTGAGTGCAGAAATTCTTGTTCTTTAACTTAAAAATAAAATAAAATAATAAATAAAAGTGGGAATATGCAGGAAAAGAGATTTTTGCATTACAATTGGAAATTACAAGAAAAGACTCCAAGGTTTGGAAGAACAGTGAACCAGTTATTCATTATTGTTTCAATGAAGGAGGGGAATACAATCCCCAACTACACATAGGGGCAAAAAAGTACGGAAAAAAAAAACATACAAATACATGATAAAAGGAAAACAAGCAGCAGAGACAATCTGACTGACATTTTACAGCTCAGAAAGTTACCAAGTGCAGAGAGAAGTATGACACTTCAAATTTACTTGGGAAGTCCAGTATCTGGGTCAAGAAGAGCCTGATTTTCTTGTGAAAGCAGAACAGGGCCTCTCCCTGGTTTTGTACAGATGAAGTAACTGATATCCCCAGGGTATTTCTGGGCTGGCGCATGTTCCTTAATTTCAGGAGGCGGCAATAAAGCTTCCACATCCTTCACCCCTTCAATTCCAGCATCTTCTAGTATTGACTTATCACCGATAACATAGCTGAAGAAAAAGGGGAAAAAGAAAATAAAATCAATATCCAAGAACTCTTTCATGGAGGGGAATGAGGTTACTATGCTTGACAAAAGAGCCTTAGGATACATGAGTGGATCTCTTCTTATGATAGTAATCTGATTTCATGCTCTTTGCACCTGTATTTCCCATTTACCTGTCCAGATCAATATCAGACTTTGGAGGGAAGTAGAAGAGCAGCCGCTGAAGCAATTGAGCAGCAGCCTTTCTATTTCGTGCAATTAAAACTGCATTTGGCCCAGCATCAAAGGTGTATGCCACCTGTCAGTTTTTCATCATTAATCAGTTACTCGATCAGGACAAAATATTTAGCATTCTCATGTACTTAAATTTCCAAGTAAAGCTGCAGCTGAAAAGCAAAACAAAGGCGAAGTCCTAGAAGCCCAGCACAACTAGTGAGAGGTGGAGTGACAGGGTTTGATCCAAAAGTAAGATGCTCGAGACATTAAATGATTCCTGACATTAAATAGATTGCCATAGTTGAGGCACTGATGGCAAGAAATCGTCTGATGCAACATAAATATCACATATATAAAGGTGCTCTGAAGCATTTTAACTTAGGAAAGACACAGCAAATATTTACAAGGTTACTTAGCAGACTTTTAGCACTACAGTGTAGAAATCTCTCTCCAAAGGAAGAAATTGGTTCTCATTAGACAGCACATTTTGAACAAAAGATATCAACCATTACAGTATCATGTCAAGTCATAAAGCAATTTGCCACTTAAATACACGGTTTATTCATGCTCTTATTTTCAGAGTATTCTTTGCCTACAATTGGAAGGAAAGAAAAGAAGAAAAATGACAGAAATCAACAGTCAAAGATTGCCAACAAAAGTAAAAAAAAAGAAAAAAAAGTAGTTCATCTTTTGCAGAAGGCAACTTATGGGAGGAGGCTAAGAAGGGAATGTATGATGCAGTCACTTCATATTCTGGTTTTGCAAGTGATAATAAGTTTTGACATTTCAGATATAACTGAAGTTTGATTGTAACAGCAGAGAACATAAGAACTTTTGTTGTCAAATTTTATCTAGGCAATGAAAATCTTAAAAGTTGTGGGAATTTTGAAATGCAGAATATATCTAACCTTTAATCCACATAACACCATCATTGAAACAAAGAACAAATATTAAAAAAAAAAAAAATCCAAAGGCGTGACCCAACAAATTAATCCACAATTAATATACCATTACAATTATGAAAAAATAGTAGTAGTCATGAATGTCTCAGCTTGATCATTAAACCACTAAATCATATTAGAAATATGATAGTTATTCATGTATGAGGCTTGAACAAACAAAATGATTCAATAATGAAACAATCAACACAACTCTTCAGGGGCAAAACGGAGCCAAGAACCTCCAATCAACATAGCATACTTGTTCCACTACCCACATCATATTAACTGTATAAATAGGACCCCAAAAATCAAAATGATTCACAAGTAACTTGGAACTCCACATTTTATTGTCCTTTCAAAAGTTTATAGCTTTTTACTGCCTTTCCTAACTCAGCAGAAGTACTGATTACATAATAAATGTTCAAGATTAAAGTCATTTACTTCAAAATAAAATGGCAGAATAAGCAAACCTGAGGAGATCCTTCAGAACGATTCCACTTCTCAACATAGCTGATTAACCTGAAAGATTGACATTTCATCGACACTCAACTTTAGAGTTTAAGGATGAAACTCCTAAAGGGAATAAACATGCTTAAAACAGGACTTGCCTGTGAGATGTATCATTCATGTAGAATATGGGTGGACAAGTATCCAAGCAGACTGCATGGAACTGGTTACTATCAGCACAAGTCAATTGTGCAAAAGATGCAAAATCACGATTTTTTATGGTTTCTTCCATCTGTAATGTGCGTTTTGGCACAACTTCCTATTACAGTCCAAAACAGCAATGAGAAAAGCATGAGTTAGTATAACTATAAATAATCTTAGACAGTTTCATATTTTATTAAAAAATCTAAAGAAACCTGATCTGAAGGAAAAAAATACCAAGCAAATTCTTTACGGTTGGGGGAAGGGAAGTGGATATCCTCCTCATGAAAAGTTAGAAAAGGGCAAAACAATAAGGATTTTAAAGGACTCTCTACATGAAACTGACAACTTTGGTGAAAGTCAACAATCTATCAGTTAAGAGAGAGACCGGGGGACTCTAGGCTCCAGTCAGGAAAATTGCATAAGCAATTTTAAAAAGAAAAAGACCAAAATGTACCTTTGCCCTATGCTGTAAAAGCAAACTTGTCTCAACGCTCTCACGCATTCCAGAGGTACTACTTGTTTCCTTCTGTCGTGAACTTACCTAGAGCCAGATAAATCAAAATTAACAGTTAAAAACCGATAGCAAACAGGGAACTTATATAGGCTTAAAAAAAGGTGAAAGAAAGAACAGGGAACTTATATTGCTAAAGTATGCTTCATTGATTCCCAGTTATTGACAGAATACGAATGATAGATTTTGTCCATGGATGCAACAAACATCTCAAATGTGGTAAATATAAATTTGATTTCTCATTAAATTTTCAGTTTCTTAAGGAAAGTTTTTTGCAGTATTGCAAATTGATAGTGGATGCTGGGAAATATTCCCAGAAACCTCTATGATAGGAGCAGATCTGATGAATGCGTGATCCAACCCCATGCCAAGTTACTTAGATGCTTCTGATAACAAAGATACATAAATAAATCCTTTACAGATTCAGCATCTTGAAGATTGGAGAAAAAGAGTTTGCAGTATCAATGGACAGTCAACATAAGTTACTAGTGGACATCAATGAGTAAATTTCTAGTGATATTCATGAGGCCTGTACATATCAATTGATTCTAGGGCACAATACTCACAAGCACTGTCAATGAATAAATTTATACGGAGCTGGAAAACAATGATTACTTTAAACATTCTTAATAATAGATCAAAACTATTAGTTTCCATTGGAAAAAACCATTCAATCAACCAAGTAAGACTTAATCCCAGAGTAGCTGGGTTTGACAATGTGGAATCCTTCCTGACATTAGGAAGATAGTTTCGATGAATCATAGTTTTGATGAATTAGAATAGTAAGGTGAAGCAAATATGTAGAGATTAAAAATTTTAGAATGTATTTTAAATGTATGTACAACATGTAGATGCACAGGAACACAAACACCAGAATACAAACGCAAAGGATGGAAGTGCAATTGAGGGGCACATAAAAAGAACTCATGTTATACACAAACATGTATATATGTATGTAATTATGCATGAAAAATGTGTAGATGTGTGTGTGCATGTATTATATGGCAAAACAAGACAAGCTAATAGGAACAAAGGGAAGCAAAGTGGAAACATAAGTAAACAAATTGCAGATGCAAAGAGTGGGAAGAAATTGATCAGAGATCACGCATCCAGACAATCAAAATAATACAAGTCAGAAAATTGATTTTCGTATGTTTCATGCATTTTTGTTCAACTTTCAAAACTTAGAACAATTACACCAAACTATGAGAAAGGATGCACTCCAATGGACATGGAATTTGACAAAATCTAATTATAACCATATATCAAGTTCTTGGGGCAAAAAAATGTATCTCACAGCAGAGTAGCGACTGATAAAACATACACTTAAAATAATGCTATATGTGAGGACTGGAGAAAATACACACCACAGCAATAACAATGAAAAGATCATCCCAGTGTTTCTCATCAACTAGTTGAACTGCAAGACTATCACTTCCATCCTCCTCCTATGTGTATTAAACAAGAAGAAAATATTAGAATTGGTTACTCAAAAAGGATACAACCCTTGTTGATGGAAGGCAATACACATGAACTATTAAATACATACAGAAACCACCTACTTTTCCCATAATCCACTTTACAAATCCTCCAAATAAACTCCGACAAGCGCTACCTGAACCTTGCCTATATGAAAGAAAAACCAAAAAAAAAAAAAACTCAACAAAACATCACTTATAATTACAAATTAAAATTCTTCCATCTCTATAATATAAACCTGGTAATTTAAAATACTACACAATAACACCAAATACGAAAAAGAGATGCGAACGTGACAAATTTTAAAATTTTAGTAAAAACCATACAAGGGTTTAATTTTTTGTGTTACCAACAGCCAAGAAATATATTCCCTGTAAAACATAAGACAAATACACAAATTGCTGGTGTTTTACACCACAGGAATAAGATAAAAAGGCCATACCTAGCAATAGCAGAAAGTTGACTCTCATCTTCTTTGACATTCATCAGCTTAGCAAGCGCGAAAACTGCATTGAAGCAATACTAGAAGCCTTATTATTAACTGATTCGAACATTGAAGGAAACAGGAAAAAGAAAGAGAAGGTGAAAGGTATGTATACCAAGACAAGCAAAACCAGCAGCAGAGGAAGCCAATCCGGCAGCTGTAGGAAAATTGTTATAAGAGGCAATATGGAGACGCAGTTTCTCCCAATCCTTCTTCTCTATCTTTATTCCCTTCTCTTTGTCCTCAACTTCGGTAGCCCGTCTTCGAATTTCCCTCAAACAATTCTGGTACCTTCCTCCGGAAAGGGATATTTCCTTGCCATTAAGCCACATGCGATCCTGTTGGAAGGCAGGGCTGACAGCGACGGTAGTGGTGGTGCAGAGATGGGCAGGATCAAGAGTGACGCTGATGCTGTCGTTGATGGGCAAAATAAGGGACTCGTCCCTCTTCCCCCAGTACTTTATCACTGCTATGTTGGTGGGCGTTTGTGCCGTTTTCATCCACACCCATTTCTCCCCCATTTTCAGATCAGATCTCTTTTTCTTTTGACTGTGATGCGATGGAGGAATAAGACTCCAAACAACTTCTTATAGAAAAGCGATTGCAGGAGGGTAAGAGCGCAGACAACGCAGAGAATATTATATGAACAAAAATACTTAAAATTCAAGTTTGGAGGCTAACCAAATTCTCAACAACGACTTTTTTTGCCGAACCTATTGAATCTCAATAACTACGTTGTTGATGCAGAATTGACTTGCGAGTTGGAACTTGGTAGTTAGGTAGCGCCGTAGGCATGTGAACTTGTCCAAAATTTATTTGTAAGCGTTGATTCCTATATTTTGTAAAAATTTTAATTTTAATTTACATGTCGTAATTTATATAAATTTAGTTTTTATGTTATTTTAATTTAATAATTTTAATTTAATCATTAATTTTATTTTTTTTATATAAATCGCTTTGTTGATATAATAATTCAAATAAATAAAATAAAATTATATAAATGATTCATATACTTGTATGATATTTAAATTTTAGTTTTTTACTTGCTTCAAATTTAATTTTAAATTTCGTGTGAGTATATGAATAATTTATATAATTTAAGTATTAATTTTATCTATGTTAGTACATCAATAAATTAATATCACATTAACAGAGTTAACACTCATGTCATCAAATCAATTATTACATTAACATTTTTTACTACAAAAAAATTGACAAAATTAAAGATTGAACTAAAATTATCAAATAAAAAAATACGATAATTAAATTTCTATGAATTATAATATATAAATTAAATTTAAAATATTTAAAAGCATAAAGATCTTTGTCATAATTTGACAAAAAGATAATTCTATTTATTCATTGTTATCAAAGTTTGAATTGAGTAAATTAAATAATTTGATATTTAATGAATGAGTTTAATTAAGTTTATATTTTTAAAAATATTTACTATATACGAAAATAATAAAATATATAAAAAAAATAAAAGTATAATTTTTAATATTAACATCTATATATCTAGTTTATAAAGCTTAGTTTAAGTGACTCGATTAAATTATAAATTAAATTTGAATATAAAAAATAAGATCAATCAAACTTCAGCAAGTTTTAAATTTTAAGCTTGTAAATCATGTCGAATTTGAACATGATAATGTGTTTGCTTACCTCGGTTACACCGTGCTCTAATTTATTATGAGTGGGCTGTGATTGTTTGCTCCGTTTGGGATTCAGCATGGTCGCATAGCTCTAAAGGCAGTGAACATAAAAAAACAGAATTAGGTGAAAGTTTTTCAAGAAAATAAACAAAGTGGTACTCGAGTGACATTTTTAGGTTCTCATGACTGTCCTTTGTGATTGTGTTTTTTATGTGATATGATCCACTGGGACTACGCAGGATTGTTGTCACGAGCAACGCTGTGCAAGTAATATATATATATATATATATAGAGAGAGAGAGAGAGAGAGAGAGAGACTGTAAAATTTTTTTTAAAATTTTTTTTAATTATTAATTATTAATTATTAATTTTAATAGATTAAAAAGATGATAATATAATAATAAAATAATTTAATCTCATCATTTTGATATGTTAAAATCAATAATTAAAAAATATAAAATTTTTTTCTTGTAAGTTAATTTCTCTTTATATATATATATATATATATATAATCAACTTATATCAATATAAACTTTTTCATTTTTCATTTTATTTTAGTAATTAATTTTAATACAAGAAAAAAAATCAACTGATACTCATTTAAGTGAATCTCTACTCTCTTTCTATATATAAAGAAACTAGCTTGTTATCCATGTGATACATGGATTATTTTTATTTTATTTAAATTTATATAAAAATATAAATTAATATTATTAAATTATTTATATGTTCATAATATATGTAAAATATAAATAAATATGTGGCCTGTTGATGCTATGTCACTTGTTACCTTGATAGTAAGTGGAGATGCACTGAAATGCATATCAGTCGAAGATAAAAATTTCTTCTAATATTGAAAGGAAAATTTATGGTATATTTTCTTATTTTGTGTCAGAATTTAATTTTACCTTTCTAATGTAAAGATTGAATACTGTTTAGCTATGGAGATTATTTTTGTTGGTTCACTATTGATGGGCAGATTAACCGCATACAACCTTTTTTTATAAAAAGTTGAAATAAATATGCTCTCATGTTTTCGTATTAGTTGATAGTTGGTAAATCTTTGCAGTTTGAGAGAAGTCGAGTAGGTATTATTAAGGATGATTACAAGTAAGTTTTAATCTATTTAATTAATCGAAATTAATTGAATTTGATTAAGTTGATTTGATTATTATTGATTAAATAAATTTATTTAATCAATTACTTTGATCGATTTTTTATTTTAAAAATTAATAATTAAAGTGACTGAATTAATTGATATTTTTAATAAAATTTTAAATATATATTAGATAATATAAATATATATAAATACTTTTTATTTATATTTTAAAAAATGAAAAATATAACATTAATCACAAAATTATAAGGTAAATTGTATAGGGTGAAAATTATTGATTTTAATTTTAAAAAAAAGTATCTAAATTGATTTAATTTTTAATTATAATTTGAATAATTTTATTATTTGAAAAAATTTAAAATTATCTAATTTGTAATTAAAAGAAGCTATCATAAATTTGTAAAAAGCTATCTTACATGTCATTCGAAAAAATTATCTACATAAACATCCATATGACAAACTTTATCAAATGTATATGTATGTTATAATATAATATATATGATTTTTATAGGGTTATACAGAAAGGTTAAGATTTGGTTGTGTTTTGATTTCTTTCTTTAATTAAAGTAACAATTTTTTAATTTAATTATTTCTTGGGAGGAGGGGTTGGAAATGTGTGAGTTTTTTTTATTGTAACTTTAATTTTTGTTGTTATGTGTACTATAATGGTGGAACTTGGTTGTTCTATGTAAGGAACTTCAAGTAAATGTTATACTTTGGTAATGACATTTATTACATGTTATCTCTAGTAATTTTCAAGGCTGTTTACACATAAGAATTCTTGGGATAATAATTTAAATCAAAGGTTGAGACTCTAAAATTATAGTCACTTATGGCATAATCGATAAAAGCTAGCAAAGAAATTTATTAAGCTAATCATAGAGCAGAACTAAATATGATAGGAATTTCAAGAAAAAAAAAAAGAGAAAGAATAGATATACCGTGTGAAATTAACCAAAAATAAGCTTGATAATAGTAGGACTTTTTGCACCTCCATTGAACCGTCGTCCACTACAAAAATCAAAACAAAAGAAAAAGTTCAACTTGATAAAACTTTAAAATTTTTGAAAGAATAATACTTTTACAAAAAATAGCAAAGAAAATTGTATTCAATAACGAAAATTTTGAAAAATAAAACATATGCAGGGAAAGCAAGAGTTCTGTGACTTTTTTGGTCAAAAAAATGAAATAAATCAAATTGGTATATAACTCTATTATATCAATTAATTAGAGCATCATTTTTATTTTATATGAATGGAAAATATTGAATAAATAATCAGTTAAAAGACAAAATATATTACCTAATTGAATGAAGAATCCATGAAAAAGTAAAAGTCTGCAAACAACATCGGTAAAAATATAAGAATTTATGTATTTTTGTAGTTTTGTATATTGTAATATATGAAAAAAAAAGTCAAAATTAAACTAAGAAAGCTTACCTAAGCCAAATAGAAAAGAAAAAATAAATCCACCATAAATGGAAGACCCTAAATGAAAAAGTAATAAAAGCGTAATACTAAAGTCAGTGAGAAATTTGAATATTATTTGAAAATAAGTTAAATAGGAAGCCAGTAAAGAATCAAGCTATATAGTTTTATTTAATCCATAAATATATTTAAATAATAATTTTATCTATTTAATTATCTTATATTTAGATTGATTTTTCATTTAAATCTTGATAAACTTTAATCTATAAATATATTTAAACAATAATTTTATTTATATATAATATTTAATCTGATAATAATATTTAAATTTTGGTATTTTATACATTTATCCTAAAAAAAAATATCTAATCAGATAATTACTTGATAACTCTAGACTTAAGAAATTCTATCAAAGTGATCAACATGGCTAGTTAGAGTTTAAAAGTAATGTAACAAATATTTTTTTCTTACTGTTATTTGGTTGTGCACTATGATTTCATCTACATAAATAAATGAAAAAAATTTATTGAGTTTATTTTCTTATTGTTTTTAAATCATAATAAAAAAAGATATTAGCTTAAATGAGTTTTAATTAAATTTATTATGAATTGAGAAATAGAAAAAGGAAATGTTACAGTTAATTTGAAAAAAAAAATCTTACCTAATGAAGTGAATAATATGTTTAGTAAAATAGTACCTATTATCAGAAAAAACATGTTAGTTCTTATAGTAAGAATAAACTAACAAAAAGAGAGATTAAACTAATTATAGGGAAAATACATTTAGCTCATATATTTCATGGGACATTGAGAAAACTATATAACTAAGAACTACTAACAATAAAGGCTTTCCTAAAGTTATTCTGGTATTTATATCTTTTTTTCAAAATTTTTTAAAATGTTAATATTAAAATTTTATGATAAATATTTATTTAAATTTAAATTTTATTTTAATTCAGATATATCTAAATTATTTTCTAAAACTGGTGGATTGTTTATTAAAATTATCTTTATCTATAACTAATATATTTAAAAGCTAAAGATAATGTAAGGATTATTTATAAAAAATATTAAAGATATTAAATAATATTTTTTAAAATTATGATAAATTTAAATAATAATGTTAAGTGCAGATAAATTGAAAAAGATAAATTATCTTAAAATTAGTTTTAAATTGAGACGAGGTGATGTATAGGAGAAAAAAATTTCATTAAAATTTAAATTGGTTTTTGATTAAATTTTAAAATTTTAGATAATTTAATAATTTTGAAATATATTTTTTATAAATAATTTAAAATTAATAAATAAATATGTGTCACTATAATAAAAAGTTTTAAGAATTATTTTACGTATCCAAAAAAGAAACTGTCCACTTAAGCGTTCATATCAATAAATATTATCTAGTAACTATGTATATTGTAATATAATATATATATATATATATATATATATGATTGTCAACTTGTCTTTTGATAAACTGTTGGCCTTAAATTGATCTTTATTTTGAAAAGAAAAAATATTAAAACTAAATAAACTTGATCAAGATTTTGAAAAAGATTTATTTAGTACATGTTCTTAAGTTTTATATTTTGGTATTAAATAAATAATATGATT